GGCTACTTGGCTGCTACGTTGTGTTTGACACTTTTTTTCTCAATGTGTTCCGGTACCATCAGAGCCCCCTGAATAACCACCCCCATTTAAATTCTGCATAACGGCACAGCATTTCATAAACGTCAATGTGGGAAAGATGATATGCTTCCGTTCGCTGCCATATGACTGGTTTCACATTTGTCTCTAGCGATTAAGGTCAAATATAAACAAAAAAAGTATTTTATATTTACAATTCTCTTACCCAAACAGATTACTCATTTACCTAGTTCTTATTAATAGCTCGTATCAAGTTGTAATGGAGTTGTAATGCATGTTGTAATGCATGGAGAACGGTGTTAAGTCAATGCTTTTTCCCTCTTGGAACTGGTAGGTTCACTAGACCTTATTTATGGTTTTCTCGCAAGTAAAGGTGGTAAAATTATGAGGGAATTAAGTCGATCACACCTTCATTTATTCGGTGTCCATCCCAAACACATAGTGGGTGAATAGCATGCTATTCTCATGCTTAAATTCTAGATCTGAATACTCAAGAGAAAAGTACATAACTCGGGTGGGAATCGGGCCCTAATGCTTAGACCTGTTGTGTATCAGATGGAAAGGTTTGTGTTGAGTTGACGTAAGTGTGAACATGAGTCAGAGTGAAAAGTGAGCGGTCGGGTGGTGTGGGTAGCTACCAGGAATAACCCCCCACAACGGTAAGTCAGAGCGTCTGGGGGTGGGGGGCATTTGCATGCTGAATAATTTCCGAAACCTACATTGTGAAAATGTTTTAGGGTTATCCACGATACAAAACATATTCTGACACCTCTCATTGTGAGAGCCCCTTACTAACAGGCCTAATCCATGCTTGAGTAACAGGAGGCTTAGGCCAGTGTAGCAAAATAGGCCTGAATGTCCCAGAAAGACCTTGTGACAGCTGTCATATGAAGAGGAAGTGGGTGAAGCGGTTAGTGGTTAGTAATCAGGAACTAGTAAACAGAAAATTTTAAACTATTTTTATGCCTAATTCCTGGGTTTATGAGTCAATTTCTCACTAATTTCTACGGTGCAGCTGCTGAGATATGGCTCCAAGTCCTGTATCATTCATGTGCCAGTGAAAATGTATGTTAAAAAAGGTCCACACTGTGATACTTGAGAGTAGGCCTAGTTCAATTCCTCCCTTTTTATTTTTTTCCCCCAAATGATAGAGCAGGCCCCATGCGAGGGAGGACGAAGGAAATTCAAGCCACACCACAAAAACCATACACAGATAAGATATAAAGTAAAACTTTATCATGACACACAAGTTTAAAGCCCTGAGAACCATATCTTTATATTACTAATGTGAACAAAACTGAATGTGTCAAAATCACTTTGGAAAAGTGCTCCTCTTTTAAATACAATCAGCACAAACCAGTTTTACAAGCGTTCACATGTTTTTCCCCCAATTTTGTTTTAATCAAAAGAGAACTATAATATCAGTAATATCAATATCATGTCCATAATAACAGTACAAAAATATGCACAAACCCCACAGATTTATATACGGAGCATTGTACAAGCCAAAAACAACAATTGATAAATGAGGTATTCAATAACCACTTTCATATGCACTTGTATTACACAGATCAGGTTAGATTTAAACAATTAAAAATCTAATAAAATCCAAACCATCCAGGGACAAGGTTCTGCAGACTTTCAACTTCACAGTTTCCTGAGTGATGTGACCTTGCCTGTAACTGAAGACAAAAATCGAACCAGTCTAAAATAGCAATTTGGCAAGTCACTAGAGACAGCTTTTGGGTTGTCCAAGGTTTGCATTTGGATGTGTCCCTCAGTATACATGCCAATTGCATAACTTGTAGAGCAAATGCAACAATGACTGCAGCCCAATGCCCTGAGGTAAGAGGTAGGGGGCCTACAAGTTACACACACACACACACACACACACACACAAGTCTACACATCAACAATTGTAACCCACATAAGCCGGAGCTGTAAACTGAATTCCCAGTGAATGTGGTTCTAACCTGTTGCCCACCCTTGTCATGGTGTGGTGGTCTTAGAGAACAGCACCACCTGCAGTCTTCTCCATGGCATTACATGGTTGTTACACACCCTCCTCTAGCATACGCTGAACTTGCTCTCACACTCATACACACTCCCTCTCTTATGCAAAGGCTGTAAGGCTACACTGTCAGACAGTCATTGACTAGACTGATTGGATAAAACAGAAATGTCTGTTTCTAAAACGAGAGAAACTAAGAGTTTTAGTGACACCACGTAAGTGATCAAGCTAACTCAGGCCATCAGAAGAAATTAACACAAATAAATAGTATACCTTGGTTTTGAAACCAATAACATGAATGATGAATGCCTTAATGTCTGATTGAATTCAAAAAGATATTGGAAATAGTTTACTCTTCAAAGGATTCAGCTTGAAGATAAAACAGTCATTCCTAGCAGAGAGCTCCTGAAAGGTTCACTAGTCTCTCACAGCTGATTTTAAGGCAGCAACTACATCTTTCACCTTCATTAAATGTGGACATAATATTTCATCACGAGGGATTGCAGGTGTCTCTTTAGTCATTGTATATATGTTGTGGTGGTCTTGTAATCCTGGCTGGGGGTCTGCACAGCAAAAGGTCCACAAAAGTCAACAAATAACAGCTACAACACAGCTTACTAAAAGCAACAAGGCTGCCCACCTCAGAGATTACAGGAGATCAGGGGTAAAAGATTTAGAAACAGTTAAACGCCTCACATTCAACACAGATAATGCTTGAAATTCATTTCATTCAAATCATGTTCTATTCAGAATGCAGAGAAATTACCTTGACAGTTTGAGAATGGAAATACTGTAACAGTGGATGTGTCGGAGGAATTTGGGAGGCCTGAACTTTGAATTGAGACAGAGAAACCAGTTGGCATAACATCTACCCTTTCTCCGTCTTATTCAATGTAGAGGTTAGGCCAAAAGGCCTTGTGTGTCATGCACTGTGCACTGCAGCATAACTCACTGAGGTATATCCCTGGTATATGTCAGGTGATGGGTGCCATGCCAGACAGAACCATACCAGGCCCAAGACTCAATCACAGGTAAGCAAAGGTCTGATTAAGAAGCTAAGGAACGCAACATGACCAGAGCTGACAACTTTAACAGCAGGGACTATAGAAGATGGGCTAGCATGGAACCCAATCTTTACCCCACTGTATCCTACCTAGTGGCTCAGCTAGCCTATTCAGCTAGCCTACAAAAGCCTGGGCAGGGGGCAGGGGACAGGGTGATAAGGACCAGGGTAGAGGACAGGGCTAGTCTTTGGTATTCAGCTGTGCAATGACCAGAGGCTAGCACACACCAGAGGATTACGGTGTAAAATACTGGCCACCTGATTGTACACATGCAGAGCAATACTCTCAAATAGATTTTGTCCCATAAAATGCAGTATGAAGGAAATGAAACAGACAAACCCCAAACAAATACAGCGAAAACAGGAGGAGAGCAAGCCCATCCCAGTTCAGCTTCGTATAATAATGTGTCCCCAAGAAAACCCAGCAGTCAAGTCTCTACGTATGTAGTCCACCATTCAGGAGGAGTCCACTCCTGTGGACCGTTGCCCATTGCAGGGGTTCAAACCACGAGGTCAAGTCACACTGGCTTTGCAGCAATGAGGTATGTAGTGTACGTCTCCTTCTAGAGAGTCTGAGGTATTCTTTGAAGAAAGTCTGTTAGACTTGTGCATTCTTTCGGTGGGATCCTTTTTTAAATGACAAAGCGAGTCCATAATAAGAGACGTCACGATGCTTCCTGAGAAAGGTCCCTCTCCCAAACGGAGAGGCGAATATGAGGTTTGAAAAGGTATGTGGTTAAAACACTTCAGGTCTGGTCTGCCAATGTTCGAGGAAAACCCTTGATTGGTGATTTGGCGCTCCTCTCTGTTGAATTGAACAAGGGACACACATTGATCCCAGAGCAGGGACTGGAACACCTTCACTACCTTTCTGATTATTAGATAGATAGATAGATGTGGGGCTGGTGAGCTGAGCTTGGGGCTTGCTAGTCCTAAACAGATCGGCGGATCAGTTGGTTCTTATAAACATCATACTGTGTGTGAAAAAAAATGTCCAAAGCTAATGGTGATCCTCAAAGCCCTTTAGACACAAGGGCCATCTGTATCTTGAGTTAGATTGAAGATTAAGTACATCATTCCAATAGGCTGAATGAGTAGGTGACTCCCTGGTATTGATTGTGGGAGTGACTACTGCCTATGAGGTATTACATGGCGATCTGTAGGATCAATAAAGTAGCGTTTTCAGCAGTAAAAAGGCTAGGGCCCATCGTCATGGCAACTTGAGTGTTGTGATAGGGTTACTGTATGAATGTGTAGGAGGTGTGCTGAGGTGAGTGAGGTTCCGTTGTGAAATTCCCAAAAATTCCCCTGATTTCAACAAGATCAAAAAGAATACAAAAATAAAGTCAATTCAGGTGAAGTATACTACAGCTCCTGAGGTAAAGATACCACTGCAGGTTACTTGATTTGTAGTATGTAAAAAGAGAACTAAAAAAATAATGTTATAATAATCATTCGAAAAAACTAAATAAAAAAAGACAACAAAATAGCAACAAACAAAATCATAAAATAAAACTCTTCAAGTTCAGTTGTGAACACCTGTCAGTGGGTTTTGGCTGAGAGCTTTGATTGTGTTTTGCATGTATTTGGGATAAGAGTGTCTGTGTGTTGGGTGTGTGTGAAATGCATGTGTGTATGTGTACATGTGTGTTGAGTGTGTAAAATGCATATGTGTGTGTGTGTGTGTGTGTGTGGGTGCATGTTATCTTGAGATGTAATTGGGTGTGTGAATTGTGTATTTATAAATGGGTAGCCAAGGCTGACAGGAGCGATGAGGTATTTGTTGTGCAACAGTTGTTGTTTTTCTTAGCGATTTATCAATGTACTGTATTCATGCTAGGCCTCAGTGTTGAGGAAAAGCCTGGAGAGTGGGTGGTAGGGCGGCCTGAGCTAAGGTGAACCACTGGTGGAGGGCTCGGCCGAGCAAGGCCCCTTGGAAGAGGAGGAGGAGCTGGGACTGTGGCTGTGGGCAGAGGTGGCGAACCCAAACCCAGCGCTGGGTCCAGCAGGGGGCACTGGGGCCACAGTGGACACGCTAGTCGCTGGGGCACCTGACTTCTGTGCAAACAGGTTTCCTACAGGACAGGAGGACAAATATTACAGCATGATAAACAACACAACCAAAGCTGTTTATTTCTGAGTGTATATACACGCACACACACACACCTGAATAGAGTGTGCCGTTGACCTCCACAGACACACTAATGCTAGCAGATCCATTGGTGGAGATGCTCAGAGCCATGTCCTGCTGCTTCTCATCTGGAAAGAGAGAGAAAGAGGAAGTGTAAACCACTATGGGCAGAACCAGAACCTCTGACAAATAAAATAAAATCTCCAAAAGGAAAGGACACAGAACCATGGGAACTAGGATCAAACTATCTCAGCACCAAGAACGTACTCTCTCTTCCTTATCTACACAGATCCTGTACAGTAACATGCAGTAAGTGAGAATCGGGTGTCACGCACATTTCCTTGTGGGTGTCTTGCAGCATACATCTGCATAACCCACTGAGGAGAGAGAAACACAATCATGTCACAGTGACCCCAGGAAAACCCAGGAAAACATTCTGCACTTCCCCTCTCAAAGCTTTTATTGTGTAGTAGTCATGTGTTGATTGTTGTACTCTCACACACACATTCAACACACACACACACACAGGCTGCACCGCTACCTTGTGTGTGTGTGAGTGTGAGTGTGAGAGAGAGAGAGACACGTGGGGAATAACCAGCATGTGATAACATTAAGGAACCAAACAAAGCATGTGTTAAGACGTACACTACCAGTCAGAAGTTTTAGAACATCTACTCATTCAAGTATTTTTCCTTTATTTTTTACTATTTTCTACATCGTAGAATAATAGTGAAGACATCAAAACTATGAAATTACACATATGTAATCATGTAGAAACCAAAATAGTGTTAAACAAATCAAAATATATTTTATATTTGAGATTCTTAAAAGTAGCCACCCTTTGCCTTGATGACAGCTTTGCACACTCTTGGCATTCTCTCAACCAGCTTCATGAGGTAGTCACCTGGAATGCATTTCAATTAACAGGTGTTCCTTCTTAAAAGTTAATTTGTGAAATGTATTTCCTTCTTAATGCGTTTGAGCCAATCAGTTGTGTTGTGACAAGGTAGGGGGGGGGGGGGTATACAGAAGATAGCCCTATTTGGTAAAAGACCAAGTCCATATTATGGCAAGAACAGCTCAAATAAGCGAAGAGAAACGATAGTCCATCATTACTTTAAGACATGAAGGTCAGTCAATATGGAAAATGTCAAGAACTTTGAAAGTTTCTTCAAGTGCAGTCGCAAAAACCATCAAGCGCTATGATGAAACTGGCTCTCATGAGGACCGCCACAGGAATGGAAGACCCAGAGTTACCTCTGCTGAAGAGGATAAGTTCATTAGAGTTACCAGCCTCAGAAATTGCAGCCCAAATAAATGCTTCACAGAGTTCAAGTAACAGACACATCTCAACATCAACTGTTCAGAGGGGACTGTGTGAATCAGGCCTTTATGGTCGAATTGCTGCAAAGAAACCACTACTAAAGGACACCAATAAGAAGAGACCTGCTTGGGCCAAGAAACACGAGCAATGGACATTAGACCGGTGGAAACGTGTCCTTTGGTCTAGAGTCCAAATTGGAGATTTTTGGTTCCAACCGCCGTGTCTTTGTGTGACGCGGTGTGGGTGAACGGATGATCTCTGCATGTGTAGCTCCCACAGCAAAATATGGAGGAGGAGGTGTTATGGTGTGGGGGTGCTTTGGAAAAGCATTCCAGGTTAAGCTGGTTGAGAAAATGACAAGTGTGTGCTAAGCTGTCATCATGGCAAAGGGTGGCTATTTTAAGAATCTCAAATATAAAATATATTTTGATTTGTTTAACACTTTTTTGGTTACTACATTATTCCATATGTGTAATTTCATAGTTTTGATATCTTCACTATTATTCTACAATGTAGAAAAAAAGTTAAAATTAAGAAAAACCCTTGAATGAGTAGGTGTTCTAAAACCTTTGACCGGTAGTGTACATACAAACAGCCAGAGGCTGAGCTGAAGAGGCACAGGTCAGTGAGTCAGCTTGCAGAGAGGCCTGACAGCCTTTATCGCTATTGCGCAGTGACCGCTGCGTTGCCTTTATAATGGCTTCTAAATGTAATCCTCCTCTATCTCAGGGGGGAGCTGAGGGAATGGGAGCTGGAGAACTGTGAGGGTATCTGGTGTAGTCCGTGTGTTTTTTCATGGTGCTCAGAGAGAGTGTCAGGCATTGAGGGAGCTTCAATGTGCATCACTAGTGTACTTAAATGTATGAGTCTCATTGAGAAAATAATTACTAGTGCATATCAGGCATAACTCCGGTCTCTAATACGTATATAATGTACTGTATGTGTTGGATACAAACTGACTATAATATGTAACTGTATAGAGTGCCCAGGGGGAGTCAGTATGGACAGGTACCTCTAGCGGTGGCGGTGGAGCCCAGGCGCAGGTTCATGGGGACCTGGGAGGCCATGGCAAGCAGGTTGTGTTGGAATGCCTGCTGCATCAAACGTTGCTGCTCCTCTGCCAGGCGTGCCATCTTCCTCTCTGGGCCCTCGCCAGTCTCCAGCTTCTCCCTCAGCTGCTCCAGAGTGGCAGCCCGCGCCAGCCCTGCCACCTGCTGCTGCCCCAGTGCCAGAGACATGGAGGAACCACGAGCTGCTGCCATCATGGAGGGGGTGATTTCTTCTAAAGAGAGGCAGGGTAGGAGAGGTAGGATATGTTACTTTCATGGAAACAAAAATGAGATTAATTTCAGTATTGTAAAAAATGAAGAAAAAAACGGAATAATTAGATAAAATGACACGATTTAATGTAGTAAAATGAGGCCAAAGAAAGGGAGGGAGATCTGTTGAAAGAATAACTACCTCTTTTAGAGAAAAAAAAACCCCACAGCAATTATGTGGGCCATTATACAGTATTTTCTGCAACAGAGCCGCATTCCAATAACATCAAAGGCAAGATCAGATAAGAAAAACAGGTAATGGTAGTGATCCAGCCAGATCCTATTGATGTGCACAGACAGCTGTAATCCAAGCTGGCCGTAAAGTGTCCTGCTGTCTGTGGGAAACATGTTATTAATCAGTAGTAAATGGTTAAGAGACAGTGAACAGCCCAGGGTCAAACCCCAGTCCCACTCAGACACTTTGATCACAATGGGAGTGCATAGCACATCGATCATCACACAATCTACAGTACAATACACACTGGACAACAGTGGAGGCTGCTGAGGGGAGGACGGCTCATAATAATGTCTGGAACGAATGGAATGGCATCAAACACATGGAAACAATGTTTTTTTTAAAATGTTTTTATTTTATTTTACTTTTAGCCCTTTTTCTCCCCAATTTCGTGATTTCCAATTGGTAGTTAGTCTTTTCCCATCGCTGCAACTCCCGTACAGACTCAGGAGAGGAGAAGGTTGAGAGCCACGTGTCCTCCGAAACACGACCCTGCCAAGCCACACTGCTTCTTGACACACTGCTTGCTTAACCCAGAAGCCAGGCGCACCAATGTATCGGAGGAAACACCGTACAACTGGCGACCGAAGTCAACTTGCAGGCGCCCGGCCCGCCACAAGGAGTCACTAGAGCGCGATGGGACAAGGACATCCCGGCCGGCCAAACCCTCATGGGTCTCCCGGTCACGGCCGGCTGTGACACAACCTGAGATCGAACCCAGGTCTGTAGTGACGCCTCAAGCACTGCGATGCAGTGCCTTAGACAGCTGCGCCACTCAGGAGGTGGAAACCATGTATCTGGTGTATTTGATACCATTCCACTTATTCCGCCCCAGCCATTACCACGAGCCCGTCCTCCCCAATTAAGGAGTCACCAACCTCCTGTGCTGCAGAGATTCCATAACACAAGGCCTGCCAATGAATGTAAAGTGTGTAAAGTACAAAAATACTTCTGTAAAAGGCCATTAAGAAATCAGAGCATTTCTTCTTGTAATACTTGTACTGTACATAATGTCTGACTCTCTAAAGGCTATATTGTCTAACACTATCCTATGCAGACAATTCAAGAAAATTATCCTGTAGCTCCTAACCATTGCGGCAGAGGGCGCTAAGGCACTATGGATATTTGTTGAGGGGTGCGCGCCGATCAGTCTGATGTGATCCAAAAGCCGGAGGCTAACTCTCAATTCTATCTTATTTGAACCCAATAGAGAGCATGCTCTTTCTTTTCCTTTTGCCAGGATGCCTACTGTGTGTTTAGGCTAATTCCAGTATTTATTTGTATTAATACATTTCTAATTATATAATTAACCCTTTATTTCCAGTCTTTTATTGAGAAGTTGTTTATCCTTTAATACTCACCTTTTTTGAGAGAGTGGACGGGTGAGGCCAGCAGGCCGTTGAGGCTCCCAGCGGCCCCCAGTGCAGACAGGTGCATCTTGGGAGGGGAGAGGATGTGAGGGGCTGTGCTTGGGGAGAAGCGGAAGAGGCTGCTGCTGTAGCTGGGGCGACGTCCCTCCCGGCGGTTACTGTCGATGGCCGCCTGAAGCTCGCCTGGAGAACTCAGACCTTTCCTCTCACACTCAAAGGGATACAGGTACTTCATGTACCTGAATGAGACAAAAAACATTAATGAGACAAACAACATTAAGATATAGGAAAGGGAAAGGGGGACACCTAGTCAGTTGTACAACTGAATGCATTTAACTGAAATGTGTCTTCCGCATTTAACCCAACCCCTATGAAAGAGAGGTGCGGGGGGCTGCCTTAATCGACATCCACGTCTTCGGTGTCCGGGGAACAGTGGGTTAACTGCCTTGCTCAGAGGCAGAACGACAGATTTTTACCTTGTCAGCTCGGGGATTCGATCAAGCAAACCTTTCGGTTAGATATATAAGATATGCCATTTAGCAGACGCTTTTATCCAAAGCGACTTAAAGTCATGTGTGCATACATGGGTCTTCAGATCAGTGTTCACACACACACACACACACACACACACTATAGATACAAAAGTATGTGGACACCCCTTCAAATTAGTGGATTCGGCTATTTCAGCCACACCCGTTGCTGACAGGTGTATAAAATCGAGCACACAGCCATGCAATCTCCGTAGACAAACATTGGCAGTAGAATGGCCTTACTGAAGAGCTCAGTGACTTTCAACGTGGCACCGTCAGAGGATGCCACTTTTCCAACAAGTCAGTTCGTCAAATATTTGCCCTGCTAGAGCTGCCCTGGTCAACTAAGTGCTTTTATTGTGAAGTGGAAACGTATAGGAGCAACAACGGTTCAGCCGCGAAGTGGTAGGCCACACAAGCTCACAGAACGGGACCGCCAAGTGTTGAAGCGCGTAGCGCGTAGAAATCGTCTGTCCTCGGTTGCAACACTCACTACCAAGTTCTAAAATGCCTCTGGAAGCAACGTCAGCACAAGAACGTCGGGAGCTTCATTAAATCGTTTTCCATGGCCGAGCAGCCGCACACAAGCCTAAGATCACCATGATCAATGCCAAGCGTCGGCTATAGTGGTGTAAAGCTCACCGCCATTGGACTCTGGAGCAGTGGAAACGTGTTCTCTGGAGTGATGAATCACGCTTCAACACCTGGCAGTCTGAAATCTTAATGCTACATCATACAATGACATTCTAGATGATTCTGTGCTTCCAACTTTGTGGTAACAGTTTGGGGAAGGCCCTTTCCTGTTTCAGCATGACAATGCCCCTGTGCACAAAACAGAAATGGTTTGTCGAGATCGGTGTGGAAGAACTTGGACTGGCTTGCACAGAGCCCTGACCTCAACCGCATCGAACACCTTTGGGATGAATTTGAATGCCGACTGCGAGCCAGGCCTAATCACCCTAAATCAGTGCCCGACCTCACTAATGCTCTTGTGGCTGAATGGAAGCAAGTCCCCACAACAATGTTCCAACATCTAGTGGAAAGCCTTCCCAGAAGAGTGGAGGCTGTTATAGCAGCAAAGGGGGGACCAACTCCATATTAATGTTCATGATTTTGGAATGAGATGTTTGAAGATCAAGTGTCCACATACTTTTGGTAATGTAGTGCAGTGACAGAGATGTCAAATAGCTACCTAACAGAGACCATGGTATGTAACAGAGTCTGAGTGTGCAGTAGCATTAGCAGCATTGGTATTTTTCCACCCCATAAAAATTGATAAATGAGAAGCGCATAATGGAGAGAGAGGGAGAGAACACTGAGGATCAATACAGAGTGAAGAGCACTATCCATTAGATAAGACCACTGGACTGTTGCTGCTGGAGAGAACAGGCAGGCTGAGTAGGCTAGCATTAAAAATACATAAAGGTTCATTAAGGCTCTCTGGTATACAGGCAGCAGTATCGAGAGCTAAAGCCCTACACAGGGGCTTACAGAGCGCAGAGCGCTCGCGCCTCAGTGAAACCCCACCTCAATTGTTGTGAACTCTTGACCCAAATCACATGAATAAATCTATTGGATCAATAAGACTCACACGTGAGATGTAATGGATGGAGGATGTAACGCAGCGAGAGAGACGGTGTGTAGTTAAAAGAGAGGGATGTACACACACACACACACACAAAACACACACACCTAGGGTCAGGATGAATGGACACATGCAGACAGACACGTCACAGAAAGGGACAGAGACACAGATACACACGACTAAGGAGAATGGAGTAGAGAGTGGGAGAGAGAGAGACTTACTGTGTGCGGAGGGTGAAGGCAGCAGAGGTGATAGAGGTGGGCAGGCTGAGGCCCTTGGTGATCTCTCTCCAGATCTTCTTGTTGATGACCTCCACCAGGCCTCCCTTCTCTGTCACCAGCTTGTAGAGCATGTACAGGTCCAGAACCTGCTTGGCCATAATGGGGATGCGGTTCACTGGGGTCCCTGGAGGTAGAACACAGCACGCATCAATATGGATCCAAATATCCTATTAAAGTTACATTGCTGAAGTAGTTGGAATGGTGTGGATGAGGAGGCTTGCTGCACATTTTAACAACTGAAAAAAAGTGAATAACATTCCGTTTTTTTTCGTTTACTTTGAATATCTTCATAGCACTGTAACATGCTTTTAACAGTTAACTGTAACAGAAATGGTAGGCGACCTTCTATTATTGAAAGTACATTTTCACCCCCAATCGTTTGCTGAAACAAATCCCCAGGTGATATCGTTACTGCCCTCGGTGACAGTCAGTGGCCCATAACTCAGAGAGCCGGTTGAATTAGACTGGGAAATGTAAACAAATCGGTATAAAAATGACAAAGAGAACATATTAGCCAAGTTAAGGCAAAGACAGCTTGACCCGGAAAGAGGGATTTGCAAACAACAAAGCGAACCTGCTCGAGACTTTTGATACAGATGCATTAATCTTGTTAACAGCTTATCTGCAGTAAAGCGTGCAGAAAGTGTGTGTGTCGGGGGGAGGAGGGAGGGGTGGGGAGGTGTAGCCTAACACTGGCCTAGTGTGCACCAGCATCAAAAAGTGCTACGCGCCACTCTCCAGCCCCGACATGGATTGTAGGCCTGCTAATCCTTGAACAGCGGAGGGGGGCGCATGGATAGCCCGGTATAATGAAGCTTATTTAGGGGATTGTGCAGAGTAAATCCACACCCCTCGGCTGTTAGCTGTTGTGCTAGTGCTGCCTGCGGCCCGGGGCCTGGGGCTGACTGGCTGCTGAGTAGAGGACGGCCAGGCTGAAGCCAGGCCAGCTTTGTGGCACAGTGGTTAATAGTAGCCAATCCTCCCAGCCTCCGCAGGCTGCTAGCAACTAACCTGGAATAAGACCCATTAATGTATTTTTCAAACAGCATTGTGATCAGGAGAGGAGATTAGCCCTGGTCCTGATTCAATGTCTCAAGTTAGCAGCAGTCAGTCCGTCCACTCCTCCAAGGCACAGGTTGTCTTCTAATTAAACCATTAGAATCATTGGCTCTGAATGGAGGACACATGGGCTAGCTTGTGTAAGTGTTGCTAACTCACTCTGGGGCAGGGTGGGGCTGGGCGTGGCTGCAGAGGCATAACCTCATCTCATTTCAGAGAGGAACGCGTGTTAGAAAACACTGCAGACCCTTACCACTAAAGCCTATATACAGTAGGCCATCAACAAAGCCAGCGATAACTACAGCTAGCTAAGCTAGGAAATCAAAATCGTCTACACCTACAAGAAAATGGGAATAGTCTTTCAGCTTTTCCCGGAGTTCAACATTCTGATCTCTAGAGTCAATTAAGAGACTCCAAAACAGCCACTTTCTCATCTATAGTACTGTAGTTGCAATAAATAAAACAAATCTGAAAGAAGAAACAGACATTACACAAAACTAGGGTACAATATACACATAACCAGGGGCGGTGTGTTCAATAGGGCGATATGGGCGACGCACTGCCAAACGGGAAAAGGAAGGGATTTTTTTTCTAATCAATTATATCACGGCAACAGTAGTTATCAGTGTTGTAATCTAGACGTCTGATCTGCCACAGTGCCACTAAATGTCCAATCAGGCTAAAGTCGTGCTTCAAATGGCCCCCCCCCCCTTTTGGGGCGATTTCAGTCAGGTTGAAAATCGCCCAGAAGTCTGTCATAGACTCCCATGTAAAATCTATTTTTTTCAAATATCAGAGCTTTCAATACAATCTCTATGGGTTTCTGAGGGCTTGCACTTACGCGCTTTCGTCATACGTAACATATAACCATGAACGTAACTAAGAAAAGAGCGGGTAGCAGCGTCAATCAATTCACTACTTCTATCAAAATGGCTAGGCTTCAGTGCAACTCGATTGTGTCTTTGAAAGAAGTTCCTTTTTGTCGGCGAACAAATGAAGATAAATTGGCAACGAAACAATTAGGACCTCCCAGACCAAATTTAATAATTCAACAGGTTTCTACTAAAGGGGGGGAAGTCCTACACCCGAGGATTTTCCAAAAATTGGTACGAACGAAAAACCTGGCTAGCAGGCTGCGATGTAGCTAATGCAGTCTTCTGCTACCCCCTGCTTACTCTTTCACCCTGAAGGCGGCACGGCAGACAGCACCGCTTGGACAGCGACTGGTGTGTAACGGACATGCACCATCTTTCAGGAAAGATTAAGAAACATGAGCTGTCAAAGACCCACATGGATAGCTGTTTGAGATTGTCTGCTTTGGGGAGAGTGAACATTCCCACTCAACTGGATGAGGGATACAGGCTAGCTGGCCGCCGCCACAACGATGAGGTTAGTGTTGATAATCACATGTTTACTGGAGAACTGAAACTGACAAGGCTGACAAGATAGGACCCTTTTGTCCATTGTTATTGGATAGGAACAGAACTTATAACCAGCTCCTGACCTAAATAGATCTTAGCACAACATTTTACTCAACATATCATATTCCATATTCACTATAACAAATATATTTACTACGACATTAGCAAGAACCGCCACATCCTCAGCCGGCTAATCCAGTGTGTGAAGTTTTGCGGAGTGTTTGAGTTAGCTTTGCGAGGCAAAGATGAAACTGAGGGCTCCACCAACCCTGGTAAGCCAACACTTTTGAGATCAGTCAATAAATGCTTCTGGTATTGACTTATATGCTGCCCCTGTCTTCATGTTGTTGCTGGACATATCTTTTTTAAAATGTGTGTAGGTCACCTAAATCATCAGAAAAATTGCCCCCCCTGAGAATTTTTTCAGGAGCCGCCACTGCACATAACATAAGATTAACTATAGATTGTACATGGCCGCTAGGCCAAATATCAGTTTCCTGTAAGATTGAGGAAGTGCCAACAGCCCAGTAAAGTGTCTGGAGTCCTCTCTGTGTGGTGGATGAGATGACATCAGGCAGGATGTTTGATTAGCACAGAGAGCATGGTGTCACTACCACCCACCCTAGCACAAAGAGAGAACAGAGAGAGAGACGGCGAGAGGGTAGATAGAACAGGAGCCAGTAGCCCAGCCCGGCCCATCGCTTCCAGAACATACAGCCTATCAAAAGCAGAAGGAATGTGGTGTAAAAAGGCCAGCCTGAGCCCTGGTCAGGCCACAGTTATTTAATGCAGCGCTGCAAGGACATCAATCCTGCATCAAACAATTAGTACAACTGTAGGGGTCAGAGGTTGGCCAGGGGTTATTGATGTCTGAATTAAAGTGCAAGTCAGCAGGAAGCAGTTTTCATACACAGCCAGCCGTATGTCCCCCTGGACAATGAGGCCAGAACAGATGAGGCACAATAGACCTGACCTGCACTGACAACCCAGCATTTAGGCTTTCATTCACACCAATGCCTCTATTCCATTCCAGCTCACTAATATCAATGTTAGGATTAGGACCATCAGGAAGCGATGTAGAGAAGCATTTTTTGCAAGAATCAGTATTTTAAATTTAGACAATAGATTTTTTTCTCTGAAGCAGATATTTTGCCTGTGTAAAAAAAAATACAAACACTACAATAAACCTAATGGTACAGAATCAAATCAACACTTTTCAACAGGATCTGGTGAAATGTGAGCAAACTGCAACAACCCATTTATGAAAATGATTAAATGACGTAACTAACCAAAGCCACTTCAGCTGGACTGGAGGAGATAGAGAAACATTAGTGAGAACTAACAACCCACCAGTCTTTGGTGAGAAACATCTGTTCTAGTTCTTTTAGACCCGTGGGCACAATCACTTTAAACACCTCATGTTTTCATTTGGGAAACACACCCCCTGAGTCAGTCGATGTAGAAATTAGTAGCAGAGCAGCATAGCCATGATATCAGGCCACATATTGAACAGCTGAAGCATTAGCTCATCCTAGCGTTAATGTAGGCCACTATTGGCTGCTTTCCCTCAAAGGGCAGCAGGGATTTGTCCACTGCAGCACCGAAACGATTTGTAATTGGCTACAGGCTTCACCTCCCATCATCCTTTGCCCTGGACTGATTTTCCCCCTGGGACAGGGCCATCAGGAGGCAAGTGATTAATGGCTGTGGAGGTCAGGGGTCACAGTGGTGGGAAGTGCTGTGGTGGTGAAGGCCCCCTGAGCCACTCCCTAACTCCGTCCTCCATTCGCCGTACTTCCAGTGTTCAGACAGGGCCAGAGCCCAACAGAGAGAGGCCCAGAGGGGCAGGAGAGGGCCAGGAGGCAGCCACCTCTCACCCCACTGGGAGGAAGTTACAGTACAGTAATTGAGGCATTATTGTCAGTAGTGAGCACAGCCCAGCTTAGAAGACACTATGCTGGATAGAGAACAAGACCGAAAGATAGGGAGACCAGCCTACTGCTGTCTGAACCAGTCAGTCAGTGAGTTACAGTTCCAGGAGATAGAACAGAACATTTAAAAACACACCAATGAGACTGGTATTGAAGCATCCCTTTGTCACATGATAGGTTTAACCCCCTTCACCCTGCACCATCCACACTGCTCCCTACAGTTCCAAGGATACGTTCCATCTCCATGTGACAAAAAACAAGGTCATTACATGATGATCCCTGACCAATTTTTTTTGTAAAACAGCTGTCTGCATTAAAGAGTTCTATAATAAATAAATGGACTGCCTCTGACGCCAGCATGGTCAATTAAATATAGCTGATTCCACATTACTGGCATTCCAGCTGACAGGGGCTGGGCGAGAGGAGACAGGAAATGCATTTTTCACAGAATGTGTTGCCACGAGGTGTAGGGTTTCACTACCATCCTGCTCCACCTCTTCGGAGTGAGGGAGGAGTAAAAGTGGAAGGAAGGAAAGAGGATGGAGAGAGAGAGAGAGAGAGAGAGAGAGAGAGAGAGAGAGAGAGAGAGAGAGAGAGAGAGAGAGAGAGAGAGAGAGAGAGAGAGAGAGAGAGAGAGAGAGAGAGAGAGAGAGAGAGAGAGAGAGAGAGAGAGAGAGAGAGAGAGAGAGAGAGACAAGGGCAGGCAGAAGCGCATTTATAAGCCCATCATTATCTAAAGGATATATCGCTTTCCATGGACTCCCCTCCCCCTCTCTCTATATATACACATGCCCCCCCATGCTCTGAGAGAGGGAAGGAGTGGATGAGGTGGATGGGACAGCCAGCTGGATAAAGACTGGATTACTGCTATAAGAAAGCTGTCAGCCAAAACACAAATGGCCTCTACCTCATGTCAGTGTCTCAGTCCTTTCAGAAGCTCCCCCCAAACCCGTTTGCACCCCCCCCCACTATCCCAGATTATACCAAACAAGGGCCTGCAGTTCCCCACCACTGTTCTGTTCTGCCTCTCTGTCTCCGACACACTACAGGCTACAAGCAGTCCTGACTGCTCCTGCTGGATGTTTAGTTTATCCAGGGACCCAGGATATTTGGTTTACATTTTCATATGTTGAGCCTGGTATTGTCAGGGCCTGCAATGCTGCTGCTGGAGCAAGGTTTGTTTTATTTTTAATACCAGGCCAAGGGACATAGAAGGTAAAGTCCAATGACGGAATGGAATTCTTTAGCTATCTTTAGTCTGGGGAGAGCCACTCACATGCATCACATGACTGACCAATTCATATCAAGTGGTACGGAATATGTATGTGGACACACAACAGCCAAACAGCCCTCCTATCTATAGAGAGAGTAAAGATTACCCCCTATATATGTAGGAGGCCAATAACACCAGGCAGGCGGGGATATAAACGCACAGCTGGTGCCGGCCAGGCCCAGGGGGGAGTAGTGTCTCATGACAAACCATGAAAAAGAAACCCCACAACAAACATTTGAAGAGTAAATTGCAAAGAGACCTTCCATTATATGTTAAACTCAATCCACAACATGTAAATCACTAGATTGAGGCCTGGGAACGAGTGCCTTTTTTATTTAGAGTCTCATCAATGATAAAAGAACAACAGGAACAACTCAAGGAGTAGACAGTGATCTGGCTGCAGTCCAAAATGTGGACGGTAATCTCTCAATCTCATTTGGAACAATTAGTTCAGTAAGAAGATCAGCACGATAAAGGGGTGAGAGAAGGAGCAAAAGAAAGAGGGAGAGAGAGAGAGAGAAACATGACTCCCTCCTCTCGGGTCATAAAGATGGGTCACCTGGTGAAATGGGG